TTTTTGAGACTATTGTGAATGGGATAATTTTCCTGATTTCTTTCTTTTCAGATTCATTATTGGAATATAGAAAACCAATTGATTTTTGTATGTTGATTTTGTATCCTGCTACTTTACTAGATTTGTTCATTAGATCTAGAAATCTTCTGGTGAGAATTTTTGGATCTCTTAAATATAAGATTATGTCATCAGCAAACAGAGATAAAAGCAAAGAAATAAAACCAAGAATCAACATGTGGGATGACAATCACTTAAAAAACTTCTACACAGAAAAAAAAAATGATTAAGAGCATGAAGAGAGAACCCACAGAAAGGGAGAAGATTTGCAAGCTTTTTCTCTGACAGAGGATTAATATTCAAAATATATAAATAACTCAAAAAAAACTTAGCCTCAAGAAAACAAATAATATACATTAAAGTAAATTTCAAAAATAAAAATGGAAAAGAAAGGCTCTGTAGAAAATTTTAGCTGAAATAAGGAAAAGTAAATTGATGTAGGCCAATAAAAGGTATCTAGTTTTCAGAGCAGGCAAAAAAAAAGAATGAAGAAAAAAAAAAGAAAAAGACAGACTTTCAGAGACCTACAGGACACTATCAAGAGTAACAAGTTCAATGACTTTGAGGAAGAGAAAGACAAGGGACAGAAAATATACTTGATGAAATAATTACTTCCCATATTTAATAAAAATATTAAGCTAAGCATTAAGAATCTCAATGATTTCCAAGTAGGACAATCACAGTTAATCCTACAAGTATTAAAGACAAAAAGAAATCTCAGAAGCAGCAAGAGAAAGACATTTATCATGAACAAGAGAATCCTCAAGAAAACGACAGACTGATTCTCATTTAAAAACATAGAAGGCAGAAATGAAGTAATATCTTCAAAACATTGGAAAGGAAAAACTATCAAACAAGAATGTCCATAGATCTAAACTCTCCTTCAACAGAGAAAAAAAATTAAGGACATTTTCAGTTATACAATAACTGAGAGAATTTGTCACTTCAAGACCTGTCATATAAGAAATCTAAAGAGACTCTTTCAAGTGTGAATGAATTGAAATTCACTGCTAACTCGAATCTACATGAAGAAATAATAGAGTATTGGTCATGTTAACTAAATATGTATATACTTATCCAATTATATAAAAATCTGATTTATATAAATTAAGATGCTAATTGTAATCCCTAAGACAATATTAAAGAATATACTAAAACTGTACATCCCAAACCAGGGAAGTAGCAATTTTAAACATTTTAACTGGTGTTATAATTATATATATTAGTGGGATTCATTATGATGTACTTGTACATGCACATAACATAGTTTGGTCAATTTCATTACCCAGTACCTTTTCCTCTCCTCTTCCTTCCCCCTTTCTCTAATAACCTTCCTCCTAATGTCATGAAATTCTACTCGTCCTCTCCCCTTTTTTTTCTTTCTAGTGTCCATATGAGAGAAAAACATAAGAGCCTTTGCGGGAGGCTACCTCCCTGGCTGGGTGAGAGGAGAGGCGCTTACATGCAACTGTGTCAGAGCCTTCCCCACCCTGTCCCAGGTACGAGGGCTTGTCCGTGTGGAGGCGTGCCTGGCCACTGACCCCAAGACCCAATAGCTGGCCCTGACCTTGGGATGCTGCCCCCCTCGACCTGCATTGGATGGGATTTTCCCTTGAATGTTTTGTTCCTCAATAAAAGCTCACTCCTTGGTGTGTTCTTCCTCTCTGGCTAGCCTCTTCTGTAAACCTTGCCGCCACATTGGTGGTTGGAGGCAGGAGCTAGGAGAAGCCGTCTCCAGAGCTAGGAATTAAAGGTAATGAGAGTATGTCTCTTTAATTTTAAAACTCACTAGTAAAACTCTATGCTTCAAACCTTCTTTAATGAAGCTCGCCCGCTGGTCGCACGGCAGAACCCTTGGATTTCTGACTCAGGCTTATTTTTGCTTGACAGAATTCTCTCAAGTTCCATCCATTTTCCTGCCAATGACACAATTTTGTGCTTCTTTATGGTTGAATAAACCATTGTGTACATACCACATTTTCTTTATCTATGCATCTGTTGTTGGACACAGGCTGGTTGCATAACTTGGCTATGGTTAATTGTGCTGCTACATGTATTGCTACAGTATGCTGACTTTAATTCTTTTGGATAGATACCAAGGAGTTGGATAATTGGTCATGTGGCGGTTTCATTTCTAGTCTTTTGGAAATCTCCACACTGATTTCCATAATGATTGTACTAATTTACATTCCCACCAACAGTGTATAAGAGTTCCTTTTTCCCTGTATCCTCACCAGCATTTACTGTTGTTTGTATTCTTGATGATTGCCATTCTGACTGGAATGAGAAGGAATCTCAGTGCAGTTTTGATTTGCATTTTCCTGATGGTTAAAGATGTGGATTTTTTTTTTTGTATTTTTTGGCCATTTGTAATTTTTTTTTTTGAGAAGTGTCTCTAACGGGGTAATTTGGAAGATACACTAAAAATGTCTATTTAACCAAAAAGATCCTAAGGAATACAGAAACAAAAGAAAAATGGGACATATAGTATATAAATAGCAAAATAATAGGTGTGAATTCTACTTTAGCAGTAATGAAATTGGATGGAAATGATTTAAACACCTAAGTCAAAAGGCATATATTGGTAGAACTGATAAATACCACGAATTAAATAAAATAAATTAAAGAAGCTACAGAGAGGTCCCTTTCACTATGTTAGGATATAGGGAGAAGGTCCCCTCTATGAGGAAGCAGACCCTTATCAGACAACAAACCCACTGACCCGTTGATCTTGAACCTTCAAGCCTCCAGAACTGTGAGAACTAAGTTCTTGTGGTTTAAAAGCTTCCTACCTCATGGTATTTTATACAGCAGCCCAAATGGACACTATAGGCACACTGTCATATTTCTGCTCAGATCCCCAAATAAACACAATTAAAGGCCTCTCTTGGTGGGAGTCAAAAATGAAATTAAAATGATATCCCTACACAGTTCAGTATGGAGTCCCCAGATATTCAGCCAAGAGATGAGA